GTTGCCACAGTAATCCCCCCCGCCACCCCCCACATTGTGCAACACATCTACGCCTCTATATAAGGAACGAAACAGGTGGACTTCTCCACAAATCTGGCTGTCGCCTGATGAAGCTGGTTGTAATTACTGGCGAAACGTCGTACTCGGATTGTAAATTTTGTGGCTTGGCTCTCCAACATACAACTGGTGTGCTGTACTAGTATACTACACTATACACTACACTATACACTACTATACACTATACACTACTATACACTACACTATACACTACACTATACACTACACACTAGTGCTGTACTAGTGACGAATTGGCACGTTCTGTTTACGTGACAACCCTTACTAGTTGGCTGTGTCGGGTGGTGGCGGGTTTTAACGAGACATTTATACATTTACGCGATCTCACCCATAAACCTCTATCATGGATGGTACAGGCTGTTAAATTGTTATGAGTGCAAAAACAATGCCATGTGGTAGCACTGCCCTTTGTTTCAGTAGAGTACAATCCCGCAACAGTGGACGCCGTGGTGTAATGTATATGTATGTATGTTGAACTTCTTTCGCACCGTACGTAGCCAACCGTGCTATTCGGAGGTGCATGGGAAAGGACAAACACACTAAACACAAAAAGCAGCACTCGGGAAGTCAGTTTTCAATCTAGATTTAAAAGTGCATAGCTCCAGTGGCTTCCTAATATCAGAAGGAAGAGCGTTCCAGACGGCCGCAGACGCAGCAGATCTGAAAGCGCGCGATGCGGTGACCGCCCTTGTTCGATGGCCAGCCAATGATTTTTCTTCGATTTAAAGCTTTCGTGACTGCAGGGATTCATCTTCTAGGTTCTTTCGGTAAAGTCATACAGAAGGGAAATAATAAAATAATAAAAATAAAACATTATAAAATGATTCTCACGACGTTTCGGCCACAACGCAAGCAGCCGTCCTCAGGTGAAGAACAGGTCTGTCGGAAAGACAGTGTCAGACACTTCTACGTGACTTTACCGAAAGAACCAAGAAGATGAAGGCCAGCCAATGGTTAGCAGCAACCCAGAGCTCGCTGCTTTCATCTCCCGGCACGACAGTGGAAACAACGATGCAAGTTCCTTAAATCTCCTGGCCACGGTCAACCCAGCAGGTCGTCGACCGGCAGGTTGCATGCGGTGGGATGACGTGCGGGTAAAACTCCCAGCTCTTCCAAGTCATCCGCCCGGCGTGGAAGAGCAGAGAAAGAAGGTAATCTCGAGAGGGGCTGTCTCGAGGTGCCACCAGTGGAGACCCTTCTGCTGGCAGGGGGCGTGCGAAAGACATCGCAGTGGATGCGCACGAATGCACAGACACACAGACGGCCCTTTGTGTGGACACCCTCAGAAGAATGCCACGCTGAACACATTTCACTTGCATTACACGCACGTCTTCCCTCCCTCCCTGCGCGGCACATTCTTCACAATAAGTTCACCTGCATGTGCTGTAGATTACGTAAATAAATAAACAAATACCTCGGCACGCTCCCCAATAACACTGCCTAAACATAAAATAAATTATATTCCGTAATTGGAATTGTTTCAAACAATGACCCTTTTTCTTTGCACACGCGCTATGAAGGGTTATTTGTTTGTTTACAGTGCTTGTGCATCACTGCGAACGCAGCGTCACTAAATAATTTGTAGATTACACGTCACAATGTCAATTACACACATTGCAAAATATTAATTGAGTCTTGAAACTCGTTTTGTTTTTAAGAGGGTGACTCGTTCGGCATGTTTAAGCTGAATGCCATCATAGTGAGTTCGGCATGTAGGAGGAAACCTCAGTGTCCGGAGAAAGCCCTCACTCATGCAAGGGAATAATACGCAAAATCCACAAAAAATTGCACGCAAAATTCCACGCAAAATCCACGCAAAATCCCTCGCAAAATTCCACGCAAAATTTCCATGCAAAATTTCCACGCAAAATGCACGCAAAATCCACGCAAAATCCACACAAAATTCTAGAAAGCGGAACCACATCGTCGCCCTCGCCTCAACGTACCTATAACACCTGGTATGTTGTACTGTACTGGTGGCCACCCATCAAAGCACAAGCCACCCTGAATATGCTGAGATGGGGGGGAGGGTGCTTTTGGGGGTAATTTGGTATTAGGCAAGATACCAGTTATTCTCGAATTCATCATGAAATGCGGCATCGCACAACAACTTACGTTTTGCTTTCTGTAAAAACCCTCTCACATCGATGGATAAAATACCCTTTTGGCCACACGACCTCTGCAAGATGCATAACGGGAGGAGCGTTTCGATCAAAGTTGATGGCAACTATCCCAATATATCGTCGCACAATGTGAAAACATTTATATTAAAATCTAAGGTCAGGTTTCAGAGGTGCGTTCAAAAAATCCTCACCAAAAATGCTGTTTCTCCAGCCAGCGTTCAATAGTAACTAAATCACACCAATTGGGTCCTACGCATCCCACCTGACAACACCTTGCCAGCGTGCATCTGAAGCATTGTCAGCTCACGCAGCGCTTTTGCGCGTAACCTTTGAGATTAGCACATTGGGAGCACTTCGCTTCCGAGAATGTAATCACTTACATGTGCCTGGTCTCCCAACTTTTACTTATAAATACAGCATTTTTGGTGAGAATTTTTTATTTTTTGTTTTATTTTACTTTTATTAATTAAAAATTTTTACCTACGTGACTTTACCGAAAAAACCTAAGAATATGAATCCTTGCAGTCACGAAAGCTTCAAATCTAGAATTATAAATACAGTTGACTATCCATGTAGACGTGCATCGACTATTGTGATAATTAAATATTGAAAACACGCACGGGATTGCGTAAACATATATTCACGATGACGCCAATCATATGCATGGGTGGCGGAGTGGTTATCACTCTGCGCTATTAATCTGGCCACCTGAGTTCAACTCACAGTCAAAGCGAACATCAGAGAGGTGAGTGATATCCGAACTGGTCATGGGTACCCATTACCCAACCCATAATAAACCAGCATGATGAAATATGTTCATATAACCGCTAAGACCGACACAGTATGGATAATTCCTCATCCAGCAGTGGACGGGCAAAGAGATGCAATAATGATTGCATGTAAATTAGAAATGCGTGAAACGTTAACACACACACACACACACATTCTGCCCTACTAATATGCCCAATCAATTTAAGGAAAGCACTGCCAGGATTTGAGAAAGATCAGTGTGCTGAGCTGGCACCACTGAGATGTGATATCGAAACGGGTTCTCAATACGTAATTGTATGTTGATTGTCTCAGTCCAGTTACGAATCACCACACCAAAGAACCCATCCCGTATTATGTTTGGTTCTGCACTTACATTGGCAAAATTCCAGCTATGACAATTCAAATATCAGTGATATTTTGATTTAAAGCTTTCGTGACTGCAGGGATTCATATTCTTGGTTCTTTCGGTAAAGTCACATAGAAGGGAAATAAAAAAGTAATAAAAAATATGAAAATGATATTGAAAATTATTATTTCATTATTTATTTCGCTTCTACGTGACTTTACCGAAAGAACCAAGAATATCAGTGATATTGTTACACGGCGAACATTAATCTCACATGCAGAGCTGATGGAAAGTGCTGCTATCGACTGCGTACCACAGAGGTCACTCAAAATGATCTCATGAGGTAGTTCCATGGTATCCACTTCTGCTGCCCATCGTTTTTTGACACGAAGGTCACACACGACTTTGCCAGATATTGGCATGGATTTTTAGAATTTTTTATTTTCTTGAAATCTCACGACGTAACGCGAACAGCACAATCGGGACAGCGCGCGAGGCCGGCAGTAGGCGCATCAGAGCACCATGGCCAGCAGGCGAATGAGGGCCACGTCGTGTTTAGCAGAAGAACGTACCGTTGTTCTTCTTGGATCTTTCAGTAAAGTCACGTAAAAGGGAAGTAATAAAATAATAATAAACATAATAAAATAAAATAATAAAATCAAAGAATATAATAAAATAATATTATATATTATTCTTTTATTACTTCCCTTATACGTGACTTTACCGAAAGAACCAAGAAGATGAATCCCTGCAGTCACGAAAGCTTTAAATCGAAATTTAACGTACCGTTGGTTGCGTGGTCGCAATCGGGGAACGGACGGACCCCCGTCCTCGTGAAGTAGAGACGCGTGCGGGCAGCAGGCAGGCCTCTCAATTTCACCGACGCACGGTGGCCACCGCTGCCGCCGATGCCGGCGTGCGACACGGCGCTGCCCGCACGCGTCACGGGGCGGCGCGGCCGGCCTGTCGTCTTCGTTGTGCGCGAGCTCGTTATCACAGCGTCTTGGCAATACGCAAGCGCTTTTGTCGGTTGTTACCGTTCGTTTGAGCCTTTGCGTATTGCTTTAATGCAGGGGTAGAGTTCCCTGAACTCATTGTGGCCGCTATAAAATTCCGCGCGATGAGAGCCGCTTTGTTGAGATATCACTTGTGGCCAGGTCGCCTGGGATGCAGGACGTTGGTATATTTGGAGTTTGCGTGTTCTCCCTGTGATCGCGTGAATTTTTCTCCGATTCCTACGGATTTGCCCTCCATATTTAGAATCAACATGCGTTTCGAGTATTTGATGAGCGACTTCGTTGAGCTATCATTTATGGCCAGATCGCTTCCAAAAAAGAAGTGAATAGTTCAGGGGGCTTTACCAGGTAAAAATAAAAAGTTTAGTTATTTATAGGAATATTTCGTTCGTATATATGTTTTGTGAGTTTCTTACCTCTCCTATACTTTGCACTGCTATCGTGTTTTTGTATCGTTAGTTGTAACATTCTGACCTGCTCCTACTGGACATCTGTGAAAGAGAGTTTAAGAGCTCATCGCATTCCATTTCAGCCACAGATATAAAGTGGACGAGCTGAAAAAAAACACCTCCATTTCATCTGAGCCTTTCATTAATTGGTTGTCAAAGAATGGATTGATCTCACCACTCATCCTTAATACGCAGAAAGATACTACTTCAATGCAAAAAGTTAAATGATTTGAAAAGTTTTATTCTGATTAATGCTTAATCTTAGCTTTAATTTTAATATTCACACTTTTTACACTTTTAAAAAGGCAATTATAAAAGGGTCACAATCTTATGTCATACAAATTTGCTAAAAATATTCCAAAGTGCCGCAAACCAATTTTTTTTACGGAAAATGTCTCATTATCGAGATAAAATACAGAAAATTACATCTCAAAGTTTTAAATGCAGTCAAATTACGACGGCAAATCAATTAACCAGCAAATGTGTTAGATCGTACTTAACACGATCTCTTTAGAGCTGTAACATACATATTAAAGCGTGACAACATTTTCTCCTACTTAGCGTATCCTTTTCCTTGCGATTTCAAACATTTCACTTGAAAATGGAGTAGGTTAAGGTACTGGAGTTTTAATAATAAATTTGTATCTTTTCAAAGACTTTTTAATTTTTTCGGAAAAGTTACTTTATAGTGAGAATAACATCAGAGCCACCTGTGTCACAAAGTGGACAATAGCACGGTGTTCTTTGCGCAAGTGTATTGTTGTCTTTTTTGTGGCGGCTTATCATGTGGATGGTGCAGCTCACAATCGGAAGGTTGAAAATTCAAGTCCTGTTTGCAGGTGGTTGCCTCGGGGTGCTATAAATGTCCACCACTTCGTGGGGAAGTTAAAAGTGGTTGTCCGGCAGATAGATTCGCCCCACCACCCCGCCAGATGAAACAGCCATTTCTGCCGCTGGCTCAGGTGCTGCAAACAGGAGACGCGGCACCACCTCGACGATAATTTGGGCTCGAAATCACATTGACACTTGCCTCGTTGACCTCTCGCCCGGTCACCGATTGAATGATTTGATTAACGTTTGGCGCGAGGGACGAAGATGTGCACAAGAGGCCGTCGGTCAATTTCACCATCGCGTCGCGAACGCGTGAAGATGTACCGAGAGGCTATCGCGGCAACATTTCCTCAAGGTCGGCCACGATGTACGAAACGATGGCCCACAGAGCAGCGCAGCGGTTCATGTCTCCAGGGTCCTGCACGCTCATCGTGTCACCGTCCGAGTGATGAAACCAGAAGTAACGGCTCGCGTTGTCATACAGACTGGCCCCTGGCAGACATGGAACATGGGGGGGGGGGGGGGGGGGTAGTGTGCATCATCGGATGAGAAATTGGGTAGTATCAGCTCGGCACACGTAACCATGTCACCGTTACAAGCGATTATTACGTTTGAGCAGTAGCTTGCCACCGTTGTGTGCCAGCGGTGGCGAGATGTTAACGACCACGCCTGGTATACAGGAGGTTGTGGATTTGATCCAAACTCTGATGCCTGCTGCACATTCAGAGTTTGCATGTGCTCCCTTTCCGTGGTCACATTTAATTTTCTCTGAGTCCTCCGTTTTCCTCCTTCACATTTATAATTAAAGTGCAGTTCGGGTATTTGGCTGCTATAAATCTACACGTGATAAGCCACTTCGTTGAGCTATTATTTGTGCTCAGGTCTCTTCTGAAAAAGATCTATATAGCTCAGTGGGCCTTACCTGGTTCAATAAAAAAAATTGTAAAAAAAAAATAAGAAGCCGGGAGGCCTGTGCCTCGCCTATGAATTAAAAAAAAATTATCTGCTCAACTGCATACACAACCCTCCTCCCTCCACCCCTTCCAGGAGGCTTCCGTGTCCCACCGACACGATGACGACCCACCGGCCACCACCGCAATCACGAGACGCGCACGCCATTGTGCAGGGGAGAGCCGAGTGGTTACGACTTGTATGCACGTGTTTGTTCACATCAGGAACGTGAGACCAACGATGTTTACGCGGCAGGCAGAGCACAGAAGACGACAACGAGATGGCGCAATTGAGATCGACCGTGCAACAGGTTTGACACACAAAAGATAAACAATGCAAATGAGATAACATACGAGACAGACAATACAAATGAGAAAGAACAAATCTGACGGGCAAAACATGCACGGGAAATCGGAACAAACAATGCACACACTACAAACGATACAGACAATATAATTAAGAGATTACAAATGAGATGTTGAAAAAGCTAATTAATTTTGGAGCGAATTGTGACCCAAAATAGTGTAAATTCAGGGTGTAGATGTAAACCATTACACGTGTGTTATCGGTATAAAGCAAAGGAAATAATCAAGTGTGTACTGTGGCGGTGATGATGATGAAATTGATGATGCAAATATTAAATAATCCAGCCACTTGAAGAGAAACACATGCTATTTGCAAGAATCGGTGTAAACATGTCTACTATTTATTGCCTCGGCAGTTCTTGACCACACACACACACACACAATTAACTTGCACGAGCGGTGACACATTGAATCTCTAAAGCAGACGGCGAAGGCGAAGATTTCGATCGTAAAAACATGAGATGCGAAAAGCAAATCGGTTCATCGTAGACGGCGTAAATTAGGATCAGGAGCAGACGTTGCGAGTCGACGGGGCGACGGTTCTGGCTTGGATGATTATCGTGCCACGCGTGAGCGAGAGACTGCAGCCAGGCACGATGAAGATTGACCATGCTCCCAGTCCCTTGCGCACGTTATACAACAGCAGAGGAATGGGTAGCAACACGAACGTCATTTATCCATAAGCCTCCCCCCGTACATTTGTGATTTACTAATTTGGTTGGGTTTTTTTCATACGCAGTTAATCGCATTTAAAAAAAAACTCGTTTCCCGGCACGTTAATAATGCTAAGAAAACGCTTCCAGTAAAAAAAAAAAATCTTAATTTGTAGAAGTGAGGATGGTGATTAAATTCATAGCATTATTAACTCTGCAAAGGAAGTCACACGTACGCGTGAGGTAGAGAATGGCAAGGAAAATTAATGGAGACGTACTGCATGGAGGAAACCCCATATTAGGTGAACTAAAAATAAGAAATCTCTTTAATCAGCGTGGCCTTTAACATAAAATTAGCATTGATGAGGAAGGCTTTGTGTTCTACTTTCTTGATGAAAAAGTCGCTGGTTTGGAAAATGTATTTTTGAGAACTCGACATGATTTTATAAATATGTCCTTCATCAAAATGATATCATTGATAGATTACAAATTATGTATATATAAAATATAAATCCATTATAGCCATGCAATCTAAAACAGCTTTTTTTCCTGAGAATGGTGACTGGTTAAGACATCTGAAAAATAGATTGAACATTTCATTGGCATTGCCCGTTATGAATAATTTGCAATGAAAAATGATTAGATTCAATGGTGCATAATGGTGCAATGGTCAGCTTTACACTGGACTTGCAATCCAAAGGTCGCCGATTTGATCTCGCACAGCTCCAGTCTAAACAATGGTTCATGATTGAAAAAAAAACAATCCCCCACCTCTGTCTTCCCAGCAGCGTAAGCCGGTCTAGCGGTGGGCAGATTGCGGATGGCGGGGTAAAGTGTGGGAAATTCTACCCCTCTAGCTCTTTCAAGCCGTCTGCCCAGCGTGGAAAAGTAGGCCAAACGTACCCTCCAGAGTGGTCCTCAAGAGCCTCCTCTAGCAGGGGCTCTTCAGCCAGCAGTGGGCAAGTAATGGCAGCGCTGCACCTTTCTTTAAGCCTTGACCGTGGTTCGTTTGGCAAGACTGGAATCTGTAGGTCTTTGGGATTGATGTTTGTGCAACGAGCACTGGTGGAGCTGTAGGTGAAAGGCAAGCCAGGCGCCCCCGCGAGCCTGTGCCACAATTAGAAATATTAAAAAACTATAAAACATTTTTATTTAATTTTACCAGGTAAGGCCCACTGAGTTATATAGCTATTTTTCAGAAGCGACCTGGCCACAAATGATAGCTCAATGAAGTGACTTACCGTCACGTGGACATGTATAGCAGCCAAATACTATAAACGCATGCGGTTCTAAATGTGAGGGAAAAATCAGAGGACCCCGAGGAAAAGTCCGCGCGACCACGGGGAGAGACAGCGACACGCAAACTCCAAATATAGAGCAAGCGTCAGGGTCGGGATCGAACCGACGACCTCCTGCATACCAGGTAGTTAACATCTCGCCACCAGTTACAGTAGAGGAGAAAAAGAAAATCAGCAAAGTGGCCATCAGATGACCCCTGTTCACCTCCCAACTGCTGGTAATCAGGGCAATGTTTGTCATTGTGGCCACACGGGCCCCCAGTCAATTGACATTGCATGTGCTCTCACGCAGAGACTCATGGAAATTCACTGACACGTTAAATATAATAATACTTTTGTAATTAAACGGTGATCTGGCTTCGTGGCAAGTGACATTTGCCAATTCAGTTTTAACTTTAATAAAAGATCCAATTTCAATTAATTTAGCAGTATGTCTCAAATGTGCTTCAATTTCAATAATGTCAATTCTTTTTTTCAAAAACACATTTGAAATTAAAGTGATGGAAAACCCATCGAATAAATAAGCAATCAACCGAAGGAAATGTCGTTGAGGTTAAACGAGTTTAAAAAGGGATGCAACTTTTTTGAAAATAACATTTCCACAATGAGCGCGCTGCGTTTGCCAAGACAGCAAAGTTATGTGAAAAACAGTCTGGAATTTGTTTTTAGAGGGTGAAATAGGACAGCCTTGGCCTTGCTCGGGGCAATGGTTGCCAGGAACTGCTTAAACAATGCAGTGGAAAGTCAGCAGTGCACATCATTAACCGGTCACTTTTGTTCGCCTTCTCACCCTTGGCTACACAGGCTTAAAACCTCCCCATGGTGAGCCCTAACCACCACCGCCCTTTCCAACACCCCCATCTCCACAGATACATCGATATTGTTTGCTTGTACGCGGAGACAGCGCCGTAGCAATGGCAGCGAGGTCGGAGGCGGTTGCCCCGAAGGAGGCATCCCACGAACGCGTAGCCCGATTGTCGGTAACGAAGCAGCAAGCGGCGGGTGAAGAGTCGCTCGCATTGTTGGCGGGGTAGTGCCGCCCTCACCTCCCCCCGCACCGTAGCGGCGGGAGGGGTGGGCGAGGCTGGCACCTTGCCCTGCCCAGGCGCCAAAATGGTTCGCTGTGGCTCTTCGTGCAGAGACGGAATGGCGTTCAGGTTATATTTTTAGTTTTTTGTCCATGATGTTACGTGGCAACACGTCACGAGTTGGTGTTCACCGTTGCTTCTGGCACTGAGCGGGGCCCCCTAGATTGTGTATGGGGGTGCTCTTGTTGCCAATGGCATCTGGTAATCCGGCAGCATTTGCTTAACAAGCCCGACTCTGCCTATGAGACCCAGAAGGTCAAAACCGGTCCAAAGTTTTCGAGCTTAAACAAATAAAGCTTGATAATCTAATATGTCCACGGACTGTACATTCTATATAGAGACAGAATAGAATGGTTTCTTTTAACCCATCTCGAACTTCATATTTCTTGACAATGGAATAAATGCTTCCATAAGAACAATGTTATTCAGACGTTTTGAAAGAAAAAAAAAACCTCTTAAGAATGTGGAGGTGCCTGGATGGTTTATACCAAGTTCTCTACCGTAGCAAGTTCAGGGATCTCAGCAATGACCACTGCCTGCAAACAAAATCCTACCAAATTAAACTTGTTTTTTAGTGAATTTATAGCTCTGACAATAAAAAATATTTGTTCTACTGTCATGTGACAAACATTTATCTCACAGTAGATGGTGCAGAAAGGGCACCGAATGTGTGTGGATTAAAGAGGTCACTTGAAAGGATCTCAGAAGTAGTTCTGTGACATCTACCTCCACAGAAGATTCTGAAACACGTGGGATTATGCGCTGCTCCCGCAAACGTTTGGAATACATTCTTTGTCTCCTGACAACGGCAACACAATTGCAATCAAATTAATAAAAAAAAATCTTAATTACTCTTATCGAAAAGAATAAAACTTAAACGCACTTGCTGATAAAGTCTCAGAATTTCCGGCGGCGTTTAACTATACTTTCTCAAAGGTAAATCACAGCTTCATATCACATTAGCTCTACTCAAGGGAAGCACTGGTAAAGTAGTTTTTTTTTAACAACATGCATCTGCTTAGCATCTGTGTCCTATTAAGAAAAGAATTGTGCCTAGAAAACACTGCTCATGGCCGTTGCGCCCAAATGGACACATTCAGCGACGTCAAGAGTCGAAATCGGGAAAAGAAAAGTGCA